TTGGCCAGGGATAGGGAGCGGGATCCAGAGTTCCAAGTCTGCTGACTGAAGTGAACTTGCTTGGTTCCCCTGACCTTGGAGCTCAGGCCGTGCTTGGCAGAAGTCTTTTAATGCAAATATAACATCAAACGTGGGAATTCTGCCTTCTGCTGGGACCCATCGCAGGCTTTGGTGTTCAGCGGCGCAGTCCGGGGCCAATGGAATATCCCGCGGGGGCTCGCGGGGCTGCGTCGCCACGGTCGGTCCTCGCTGTCCCCGCAGCTCCGCTCGGGAAGGGGCTGGGACGGGGGACACCGTCCGTCTTGGCGTCGTCTCCCGAGAAGCTGCGTTTTCCGTGAGGTCAGTCCTGCGCTTGTAAAAGCAGCCGGTGCTTGTGAGTATTCCAGTATCCGGGTGATCGGCGTTTGAAAAGATACGTGATCTTATCAAAACCGCTGAGCACTCGCCCCGGAATGATTTGAAGGGGCCTGACTCTGCCTCGCCCGTTGCCTCAGAAAACCCAGGCCCGTGTGGGTTGAGGTAGCGCTAACGTTCAGGTAACGTCAGAGCTTCCTCGAGCCTCCCCGCGCGGGACGGCGCCCGCGCTGAACCGACCCTCCCGTTGTGTCTTTCCACAGAGCCCTCTTCCCACGACTAACCAGGGCCGGGCTGGATTATGAGCTCCAACAAGAACAGTCGCTACAATCGTTTCTCCAGTGGCACAAGCACCATCGCTACTCCTGAAAACACTAACGGGGTAAGGCCTGCGCCTGCGAGCAGGGCAGCAGTGAGGGCTGTCCTCACTCAGCCTCTCTTCAGAGAAAATAACGAAAGCTGTTGACAATTTGGCGCTTCCTACTGCCTTAAAAGTAACAGTATTCACAGGTGTAGCTTGGGAATGTGCGTTATATACGTGTGTTTTTTACCAATTCAAGTATCGAGTGTCCAGCCGTGCTGGGCTGGTCCCCGCTGACCGTCGCTCTGTCCGTGTTTCAGACGAGGATGGAAACGACCTTCGGGCCGGCCTACTCCGCAGTGACGACCATCACCAAGGGTGAGCGCGTCCCGGGGTGCAGCTCTGCCCTCTCCCCGCGTCCTGCCCCTTCTGCTCGTTTGCTCCACATAAAGCTGCTGGAGAATCCCTGTGCTCAGTGCAGGCAGCTGCTATCTTTAGTGCTACACAGCCCCGGTGTTATTTGATCCTGGCATCTGATCACCAGGCGCCATGGAAATGTGTGTGTGCACAAATGTCTTTACAGTGCCACCGGGAACCCTGCTGAAATCAGGATAGTGCAGCAGGGTTTGATGCACAGCTCGGGCCCAAATTCTATTTCTCCCCGTGACTTCTCTCTCAATCGTTGTCAAAGCTGAAAATTTCCATCTTCATTTTGTGCCTAAATGGGAATCCCGCTGGACGCTTTGGTTCAAACCCCTATGGCTGTTCTTAGCTCAGACAGGAGGGGGTGCAAGTCTACCTGCTCCATTAAAAATCTGTGCTGCTTTCCTCAAAGGCCGGCAGGCGAGGGATCTGAGCCCTGACCTGGGGGATGAATGTAGGAAGAGGTTTGGTTTCATTTTGGAAGAAAAATGCTTTTACTTCAGTAAAGATAAAACACACTGATTTAGATACAGAAATGAGCAACTGCCTGGGGGCAGGTTTTGGATTGCATTTGTGCAGGACTTGGGACTGTAGATATTTCTGGATTCCTGAATATTTCCGTTTACATTTTAACATAAGTCAATAATATGATCATCATCTAAATATTTCCAGTTTAGCTTAGCATGCTCTCCTTGTTGTAAAATACCCAGACCTCCTTTGATCTAAGGATTTTCTCTGGGTGTCTGAGGTGTGCAGGAGTATAAAGTTTCCTTGTGATCATTTTTTTAAACCTGTGGGCCTGGCGGAGTGTTGTCTGTGCTCCCTTCTGGGCAAGCAACCTTCAAAGGCTTGTGTGTATTCCAGCAAGCCAGCAGCAATCAGCTGATGTGTCCAGGTCAAAAACCGGAGCGGGAGAATCCCTAGTGTTTGCCAAGGAAAACTTGGAGCTACAGGGAGACCTGGAGCTTGGCAGTGCTTCTGAGGGGCCTAACGGATTCTTTCTCTTTGCTTTAAAGCTGACGGGACCAATACTTTTAAGCAGCATCGGCGGACCCCGTCCTCCTCCAGCACGCTCACCTACTCGCCGCGGGACGAGGACGATGGCATGGTAGGTGCCGCGGGACGAGGACGATGGCATGGGAGGTGCCATGGGCAGCTCTCTGTGTCTCCGTGTCACCCTGCGGCCACCTCCCGTTCCCGCCGCGGTGCCCCCCCCGCCTCAGCAGCTCCCGGGAGCAGGGAGAGCGTCGGAGCTGGGCACCGGGCGCTGCTGGTGCCCGTTTTCAGGCTGGCCTCGGTGTTGTAGGTGCTCACAAAGGCCATCCCAGCCGTCCCCACAGCTACGACTAGAAAATCCTTTCTGCTTTCCCTCTCCAGATGGGGCTTCGGACCATCTGGAGCAGGTTTGGAGCCTGCTGAGCAGGACTCTGGCTTGGCCCTGGTAGGGGGGTCTCCTCACATAAACCCTTCCCATCTCACTGTGCCTTTCCAGAAAAGCCCCTTCCTGCGCCCTCCGTCATTCCACACACTCCAAGTAACTTCTCTTTTGGAGTTTAGTGGTCCTGCAGGTCTGAGGATTGTCTGCTTAAAGAGATCAGCTAAAGTTAAGATCAGTTAAGATGATAAATGAATTATGTTAAGTTCAACTAAATCAGTTAAATCAAGAGCAGTGGCAGGAAAGCAAACCTCAGCAAGCAGCACTGAGGCCTGGATCTTCCCATGTCCCAGAGTCGTGTCTTGTAACCGCAAGTGCCTGTTTAGATTTGAGCACGTGAGTAGATTCTTCATGTTGAGCAAGTACGTGGAGAGCCCGGAGTAGCCGGGCTGCTTATCAGGTTACGAGATGCAGCTTCTGAGCCAGGGATAAGTGGATCACGGCCGCTGATTAAGAGAGGCACTGGCAGAGACGGGTCGCAGTAACAGTGCGGAGCTACAACACTTCTTAAAATAAATTTGATACCAGATTGCAAAGCGGTTTGTCGTCAGCATCCTATAAAGTCCCTTCTGCCGCTCGGGGGCCTCGCAGTGTTTTGTGTGAGCGTGTGTGTTTGTTGAAGGGCTGCGTGGTCTGCGTCCTCGGCAGATGCAGCCCTGCATCGTCCCGCTACCCGTGCGCTGCAGCGCGGGAGCAGCGAGCGCGCGGCTGCCGGGCTGCATGCTGTGCTCCCCGTGCCCGCTCCGTGAGAGGGACAGTTGTAACAAAACAGGGGAGGCTTTTCCAGGGGAGCAGGGGGTGCTGAGGGCATTAGGTTCAGCCGTGTCTGCTGGCGAAGCTGCCTGATTCCTTTGAAAGCTGCGGAATGGCAAGGTGAGGTGCTCGGTCAGGAACGAGCGTGCCCTGGTGCTCTTGGGCAGTCTCAGCCCGTGTTCCCAGGAGGGCCAAACGTCATGAAGCAAAAACAGCCACCGGGGTGACACCTGGGAGCAGCCTGCGCACGAGGTCCTCCCGGAGAGGAGCGCCGCAGCCCCGCTCCGCCGGCGCCCCAGACAAACTCTCACTAACCTCTTTGTGCGGCTTCCTTTGCTTTGTCAAGAAATAATCCGGGATTTCCCTTCCTGATGGCTGAGTTTTGCTTTCTCCAGAAGCTGCCAAGGGCTTGTGAGCCATGAGCACATGGAGACAGCTGGAGGCGGCAGAGCCCTCCCGGGCTGCCCCCCTGCTCTTCCTTCTGTTTTTAAAGCTGCTGCTAATGAAACCAAAAGCCGGGAGGGCTGTGCGAGGCGGGATTGCTGGAGCCTCCGCGTCACCGTCCCTGCAGACGCGGCCACGTGTTCCCGGCCGCACGCTGCCCGCAGGGAGCAGAGCGAGGGCCGGGCTCCCGCGCTGCCGCCCCTCGCCCAGCGGCTGCTTTTTTAGGTGGAACAGCAGAAAGGGGCAGTTCTGAACTGCACCTAAAGACTGGATGGGGGCAAATGCCCTGCGGAGGGTGAAGTGCTGGCGGGCACCGGGCAGTCTCGCCCGTCTGCAGGCAGCCTGGGCAGCGAGCCGGGCGCTGCACTGAGGTACCTGCTGGCCACCAGAGATTCCTGCTCCGTGGGAAGGGGTTTGGGCCGCTCCATCCCTTGGGCTGTTTGGAGACGGACCTGGCCTTAGCACAGGAGCTGTGGAGAGGTGGGAGCCCTCGCTGGGTCCTGCTGTGTCTGACAGGCCCTGGCCCGTGGGGCAGCCCCATGCCCAGGCTCTCCTGGGGTGAGGGTCCCGCTGTCCTGTCTGCAGGGCGAGGGGAGCTCGGAGCAGGCCGGGAGGGACGGGGTGCAGGCGCTGCGGACCCTGCCCAGCCCACGCGCTCCGTGCCCCTCCGCTCCGGTTCTTCACGCGCCGCTTTGCGAGCCCAGGCAGAGCCCCGGGAGCGGCCCCGGCACGGTGCTCCGGCCTCCCGGACCCTCGCGGGATCCGCGCCGAGGAGCCGCCTCCCGCAGAGCCCCCGCTGCTGCCACCTCCAGAGGGGAAACCCAGCACCGTCCCTCTGGGTGTTGCAATAACTCCTGCTACTAGTGGAAATCAAAATCAGTGGGTAGATACATGAACTTGATCCACCTCGTTATAACCCTTCCTCCTCGAGCTTTACATATTTAGCCAATCAGCATGCCTTCTTTATGCAAAAAAGAGTTTTACCCTTTGGCTTCTCAGTGGATGCAGCATTTCTAAGCTACTATCTTAGAAAAAGTCGGAAAGAGCTGCATGAAGAACCCATGGGATCTTAGATGGGTCTTCTAGAGGCCAACAAGATCCGCATTTGGCCTCCAGTATGTCTAGGAAAGACTTTCTGAAGTTCCTCTTGTTTCTCTTCTTGCTGAATCTCCTTGCTGGCCTCTTGCAGCCTTGTCTGCCCTCGGATCTGCTGTTGCACTCGTTCATCCGTGGCAAACACCACAAAATGCAGCTCGGGAAGCTCAGGTCGAACATCAGGGAAAAACCTTCATGCTTGGCAGGGAGAGCAGGACAGGGGTGACCGAGGGCCGACTCGCATCCTTGGAGCTTTTCCAGCTCAGTTAGGCAAAGCCAGAGCTGAGCAGATCCCGTGCTGGGGACAGTGTGATACTTGCAGCTGCAGACACCCTGGAGAGCAGTCACCTCCTGATGTGCAACTTCTGGAGCTTGTGGCTTCGTTCTGCTGTTCTTTGTCGGTCCATTCCTTCTGTTCCTGGAACACTTATTCCCAGTTTGCCAGCAGCTCTTCCAGAGGAACCAGCAGCGCCTGGTCGGGGACCCAAGTCCAGTCCCCTCCCGGTTTTGCCGAGCTGCACGTTTGGGATGTGCCCCTGCTTAATATTCCCGGGGCAACATTCCCGCAAAGGCAGTGCCTAGGATGTGCTGGGAGCGCCGGGATTGGTGCGCGGAGCCGCTCGGCTCTGCCCTCGCGCACAGGAAGCGGCAGAGCGGGGCCGTTACCGAATTGAATAGAAGGAAGTCTCCGCACTTACGCAAAGAAGTTTGGCAGAAGTTAGATAGCGAGTGAAACAACAAGTGCTGCTGCAGAGATTACAGAAATTGCAGGACCCGGTCGCTGTCTCTGGGGGAGATTTTCCAAGCTTTCTGTGGAGGATTAGTTCTTCCAGCCGGTTGCTTTGCATGGCGGCGCAGTGAGTACATGGACAAGCGCACCTTGGAGAGGGCTGCGCGCCTGGCATTGGGGTGCCGGAGCCTGCCCGCCGCCTCCGCGGCTCCGGGCGCCCCGCGGCGCTCCCGGGAAGGGCTCACCGAGGAGCGGCCGGGATGCGCAGGGCCGAACGCGGGGCGTCTGCGCACGCTTCGGGAGCAGGGCGGTTATTTGCAGTAACAAGGATTGTTTTTTTTTGTCTTTTTGAAGCCTCCGATCAACACTCCACGTCGCTCCGACTCTGCTATCTCCGTCCGTTCGTTGCACTCCGAGTCCAACATGTCCTTGCGCTCAACGTTCTCACTCCATGAGGAAGAGGAGGAGCCAGTAGGTATTTGGGATTGTCTCAAGGAGCAGGGCTAGGAAATTCAGTGTCATAAGAGTAACTTTATGAACTGTTGTGAGTATGTAGAGCTGTCACAGACAGATTTGGGCCGTCTCTGAGTCTTTGGTGATGGGGAGCCTGGCTGTCAAGTTCTAAATTTGGTGTTGTTTGTTTTTAGTTTTATTGTCACCACTGACTTCTGCAAGTCACTGGCTTCCTTGTGTGCCGTTTCCCCATGCGTGCAGGAGGGCAGTGGGGAAGCCTGGCTGCTGCTCGGAGGATCTGGAGGCTGCAGCCGCGTGCGGCCCCGGCTCCGCTGCAGGGCAGTCACGAGGAGCGGAGCTTCACGCTGCTGCTCTGGCCCTAGGCAGCAATAACACTACTCAAATGGTTTTACACAATCGTAACAACACGATTGTAAACCCCAGGAGGGTGCCAGGAATTGTCCACATGTGACTCTGTACTTGGAGGACACTTTCAAGCAGAGCTTAGAGCTTATGGCCCAGTGACTAGCCCCAGTCTGGGCACATGAAAGGTCAGGAAGAATTTTGCCATGGATCTGGGATAAAAGCACGTTTCATGTGCAGGAGCTCGGGTTGTGTGTGCAGCATTGCGAGCAGCACCGGATGAAAGGACAGCCTGAGCCACAGGGGTTGATTTGGGAATCTCCGAAACGCGGAGCCCGGCTCCGGCGGGAGCTGGGCTGCTTGGGAAGTCACTCGCAGAGCCGGGGCCCCAGTGGTCTTAGCTGGTAAAGAGAAGTGCAGGGACGGGCCCCTTTGGGAGAGGCAACGTTGAGTCTGCTCCAAAGGGGACGAAGGAGCAGACCTTCATCATAAGAAAAACCGAAGGACAGATTGTTTTAAAACTGCTTCTAGGCTTCAGGCTTAGCACCAGTGACATCTTCAGCAGCACGCTGTTGAGCCCGTCTGAGCAAAGCGTGCCAGCCAGAGCGGTGACTTGAGTCTTCCTAGCAAAAAGATAGGTCCTGTGGTTTGTTGTGAGGGACCCTGGTCCTACCAGGCGCCAGTAGCCCCGAGCTGTGAGGAGTTGAGGCTCTCCATCCGCTCCCCGGTTCGCCTCTCCCCTAGTCCTGGCCACCAGCAGATCCGGGCAGTGTCTGTGGAGACGATGCGAGTCTGTGTGCGCCCTGTGCCCGTCCCTGCTCCACGTTTGGGGGCTGCATCCCCTGCGCCGAGGGGGGCTCTGGCGCGTGCAGAGGGCGGCCCCAGCCGAGCCGGTCCCTCTCTGCCTCTCTCCTGTGCAGGAGCCACTGGTGTTTGCTGAGCAGCCGTCCGTGAAGCTGTGCTGCCAGCTCTGCTGCAGCGTGTTCAAGGACCCCGTCATCACAACCTGCGGGGTAAGGAAGCACCTCTCGGGCACGAGCTGGGACTCCCCAGGGGACCCGTGTGACGTAGAGCAAGGACAGCCTGGGAGAGCAAACGGGAGCCCGGCGGGGGCCGGGGTGGAGGGTCCCATGGGGACACGCAGGTTTCCCGCAGGGACACGCAGGTTTCCCGCGGGGCTGCTCGACCCGACGTGCGGAGGAGCGCGCGGGGCCAAGGCGGGAGCCCTTGTCCTGCCCTCCCTGTCCTGCCCCAGGTCGTTGTCCCTTGTGTTGCTTCAGCTGCGTTTGCAGCTCTCCCTTCCCTGCCCTGGAGGCTCTGCAGAATTCGGCTGCCTCCCGGGGGCAGCTGTGCAATTCCAGCCCAGAAACAACCGCCCTTCACCTGGGAGGAAAGTGTTGCCTTTAAAACAGGAATGGCTTGGATCTTGATTTATGTGATGCTTAGGAAGGGAATTGAGATCATCTAGTGAAGTGCACAGAGTATTACGAATATTCTTCTATATTCCATTTGATTAGGATTTTAATAGAAACTGTTTATTGTTCCTGCTTCTGCGCTACATGTGAAGAAAGATGGCTCTGTTTCACCAGTGCTCGTGAAGTGCTGCAGATTCCTAGACCAGAGCAGTAGCAACAAATGTGGAAAGCAGGATTGTTTGTTGCATTGGGAGTGCTGTGTCCCCAGGTGTTGGGAACTGTGGTGGTTCTGGCTCTCCTGCCACCATTTCAGTAACGAGCTGTTCATGGAGATGCTGAGATTTGCTGGTTAATGCAGGGCAGGGGGAAATTCTGCTGCAGGAAACAGGCCGGCTTCGTTTGCACGCTGGTTTGGCAGCCCTGGAGAGAGCAAGGAGAGAGCAGCTCGCAGCTGTGCCGGGCAGGAAGAGGCAGCCTGCGCAGGGCTGCAGATAACAGCTCTGCAGGGGGGCCTGGGGGCTTGCAGCCTTCCCAGTGCTGCTGCCAAGCGCTGATCCCATCCCCAGGAATGCGGCCGAGGAGGCTGCAGGGCTCCGCAGGGCCAGTCTGGGACCTGTGAAATGCTGCAGCCTTTGTTCCTTTCTTTATGCTCCTTAGTATGTTAGACAGAAATTGCAACTTTTACCACCCGTTTCTGCTGTAAGCATAGAAATAGAGGTGTTTAAGTGAGCACGATTTACAGTGATTTAATGTGGGGTATGAGGCAGCTATCCCATGCACAGACAGCAGAGCTCCATACATGTGGTAGGAGGACTGGCCAGGTGTGAGATGGAGAGGCCAGACTGGTGCTCTTCTCCTTGAAGGCTGTGCAGAGAAATGAGAGGAGTAGGAGGCTTCCGCACTGCAGTGGAGACGCGCTGCAGGCGTCGAGGGCAGGACGTGTCTGTGGCTCTGTTTTGTACCTGATCCTGGACAGCCAAGAGCACTCAAAGCCTCCAAGCGTGTCCGTAGTGTCCCCCAAGGGCCGTCCTGGCTGGGACTCGTCTGCCGGGGCCGCGCCGTGCCCGTGCGTCCCGTGCCGCCGGCTCGCGCGCACCGC